GCGCCTGCCGCAGTCCAGTCGCCGCCCCAGCCGGCCTTGTCTCTGCGCACCCTACTCCTTTCCCCACCAGGGTCCGCTACTCCTGCGCCGCAGTTTCCTGCGCCGCGTGGTGACCCAGAACCCTGGGACAGTTCTCTCACTTGACAAGTCAGGCCTGCGCCTGAGACACGCAAAGCGAGAATCAGAAAATCTGAAAAGTAGTGTCGTTCCCGGACCCGTGTAAGTTTTACTTCATCTGAAAAATTAATCATTGCAATCTATGATTTACTGTGGTTTTCATTCTTGATCCCATATTTTGGGGAGATTATCAACAAGGCACCAGAATCTCCTCCAGATCTGGGACCCAACACAGGTCCAACCTCCAGTTGCTACCTCCCTCAACTCCTGTAAAGGAATCTGCAGAAGCCAGAAGCTGCACACAGGCACACCCTCACACGCTGACGGTGAGATGGATAGGCTGGGCCGGGGCACGCGTCAGAGATTAGATGGCACACCCGCCCAGGGATCCAGCCCAAGCTCCAGTGCAGCAACTGGAGTCCCGTTCGTTATCAGAGTGATAAAAAGAGCTGCCCCCGACTTCTTTGCAGGCTTTGTTTTTCTCTGATTTTTCTTTTTTTAGTTTATCGAAAAAGACCTTCTTCTATACTGTCAGCCTCTTTCAATAAGCAAATCATCCTATTTATTTTCAATTCCACTGCAATTCTGTTAGGCAAGTTGAGAATCCTCTGTATGGGGGCTAATGGATGAGGCTGGGTACTGGGCATCTGAGCTGGGTCCTGAGGGGGGAGAAAGGAGCAGCAACTGGGAGTGTGGTGTCTCGGGGCAGGCCGTGGTGAGCCGCCACCAAGCAGACCAAGTCACAAGAGCAGCTCTGACCTCAGACAAGGGGTCATTCCTCTGAGGGCAGACCAACCAGCTCCTAAGATATTCTGCAGACCTGGAACCCCTTCCTCCCGGAGGGCCCAGCAGAGACAGGTGAGGGCCTAGCAGGAAGGCTGAACACAGAGGCCTCATCCACTCCTTCCTCCCTTTGGGTCAATGATCCCTGGCTGGCTCCTCATGCCACCTCTGAGGCTTTGCTTTGTTTCTCCTTCAGTTTCTCAAGTTTCTCAGAGGAAAAAAATATATATAAACATGAACTCTGAAGGTTCTAACCTTGTCTCAGCTGAGCCAGTGATTAAGAGGGCTGGTCTGCAGCAGAGGCCACACAGCCAGAGGGGAGGAAAACATCCTGCAGACAAGCAGAGGCAAGAGGAAGGGCCTGCTAGGGCAAGAGTAGGGAGTCACCAGCCAGCTATCATCCACACTCACCCCATGGTGCAGACGCAGGCTGCTGCAAAAAACAGGGAGCTGTGGGCTTCACAGACAACAGGAGAGACATGCAGGGTCCTTCAGCCACCAAAAAGCCCTGCGTCTAACAGAGGAGACATGGGCTTCCCTCAAGGGTGGCAGAGTCATGTTCAACTGTGGTGCCCTGAGCGTCATGCCCTGTCCTCAGAAGCTGAGGGACCTCACCCCCATTACCACAAAATAACTGGATGTGATAGAAGGCAGCGTGTCCACAAACATAAAACTTCCCGATGCATATGTGCTGTGCGGGGGTGGTGGGAACCCCCAAAAGATGAGTAATCAGGTAGGGAACATGGGGCTCAGTGCCAGGTTCCCAGGTAGAAAGGCACAGCGTAAGCCCAGGCTGGCAGATGGGAACAAGACAAAGCAGGGAGGCTGGAGAGCTGACAGGTTGGGGTGTTCTGTTTTGTTTCATTCCATTATGTTTTGTGTTTTTGTCCCACTGCAATAAAGTCTCATTCTCAGACTGGTGGACGAAGGAATTTCTCATTTTGAATAACTCTGAACTCACAGCCAGCCTGGTTGAGGAGAATCTAGCTGAGGGGTGGATGGGTGGGTGGCTGATACTTCCCAGGAGGCCAGTGACACATGCAGAACCTGCCAGGGCTGTCTTCACCTGCTTTGGGGCTGCAGTGTCCTTCAGGTATCCCAGTGCAGCCCACTTGGGCTGAGAAATTACTCATGGAATAGTTAAACTCGTGGCCATGTGTCCTGTCACCAAGGTAGGCATCCAGATTGTCCCCAGAGGCTTGCTCAGATGAACATCCCAAATGAACCACTGTGGGTTCTGGAGGTTGTGATCTTTCTGCACCTTCCACCTTTCCTCAGTGCCCATCTCCAGTGCACGGGGCTGGACAGCAGTGGGACAAAGCCAGGGGACAGAGTTTCCTAGGGTGACACTAGTCGTGCAGTTGGGGGAATCTTGGAAAGTCCCAGGCAGATCTCCCGGTGTGGACAGCACACCCAGGCAAGGGTGCCAAGGTCTCCAGGCAGCTGGCTTACTACAGCAGTGTGGCAAGGGCTACCCCTCCCATCACCAGAAGAAAGACCCAGCCCAGAGGGTCGAAGGCAGCCCTTTAGGGGAGGGAGACTCCCCTCTTACAGGCATTCCGGAGACTTTGATCCCTGATGTCTTCCTAACCGTAGGGATTTCTCAGGGCAGGACATCAGAGAGCTGGAGTCTCTGCAGGGATGTGAATGTCACTAATGGTGGACTTTCAGCACCCTCTCGGTTCTTGGACAATCTGCTTTCTCCATATCCCCCCAAACCCTAAGTCCCAAGCCCCAGAGCTCACACCACGAACCTGAACCTAGGGTTCTCAGGCACAATAGTCCCGATCCAAGTGACCTCCTTTTCCTATCTTTTCAAAGTCCTGCCCCTTGCTGATCTGACAAAATCAAACTGGGCAGACGTGTCCGTGGCGGCTAATGGACACTAATGTGTTACTGTCTCTGCAGCCATGTGACTTTTAGCAGGGACCTTTTACAGCCCAGGCTGTAACTCGAAGAAACATCGCTAATCTGAGGGAATTTCTGGCACAAGTCAAGCCAAAGGGAAACATTGTCAGGCAGGGAGGCCTCTGGCTACTGGTGGGCGCTGAGGGCCTGCCTGGGCAGCTCAGATTTCCACCTCCCTTGCTACAGTCCCAGAGAAACCCAGGCCACTGAGAGGCTGGGCACTCCCCAAACCTCCCCAGCAGGGCCTGTGGGTCCACAGGGGCTGCCGTGCCAAAGGGTTAATCAAATATTAAACAAGGTCTGTAAACTTCAGCCAGCATCATATTTGGTCCATGCCCTACCCCTAAAGCAGCTCAGCTCAGAGGAAGTTTCTGGCTCAGCTTTGCCTGGGTGCTGGGGTTGGAGTGTCTTTGCACATGCCCCCTGGGGCAGAGAAGGGGAGAGACAGACTGGGACCGCGGTGGGAGCGAGATTCGTGTCTTTCATCCTCCATTCTATTATTCACTTCCTCTGATTTTTATCTAATCTCTCCCTGATTGTCCTGGTGAAACTTAATAGACAAAGTGAATTTTTATTACATCATCAATATAATCTCTAGCTAATCAGCAGACACGAGGGCCACTGCGAGCCCTATAGCTCCTCATCTGGCTTCATAAATAGTAAGAACAATCACTGCCGAACCAAACCCGTCCATCTCCTCCTGGGAAGCCCCTCTCCCTGCTGTGCCCCTTCCCCATCCTTATTCTCAGGGCTCTGTCTTCCCAGGGATCTTCTCCTCCCCCGTGGGCCACATTGCCGGTCGTCTCCATTAGTATTTTTAGTTTTCTTTCTCCCAGTTTCAGCTGTTAAAAATCACAAATCTGGGCCTTGTGTTTTGAATGCCGAAATAGCCTAATGTCGACTGATTTTTTTTTATTCCCTTTTTCTCTGCACTGGGAACACACGTCGTAAGACGTTATAGAATTCTATGGATCATAATATATACTATAAAAACACATGGTAGACCAAAGTAAGTCATATGTTATACCACGCATGTATATCTACTCTAACTAAATGTTTTGGTCATTGAGAGCCAAACTATGCATCTTAGATACCGTACCATAGATGTGAAATGATATACTTTGTTTACATTATAATATACCTTCCACTTAGATAGCATTTTAATCTGTACTTCCTTATATATTACCTCTTTTTATTCCTTATTGTAACCAGGTACAGTTGATACCTTTTTTATAAAGAAAAATGGGAAAGGAATCATGGGAAAATTACAACCCGATCAAATCCTGCCAGATATGGCTGAGCTGCTCAGCAGAACAGGGTGCTGGGGAGGCACGGAAGGCACATGGGCGACTCGGGGGCAGAAGCATGGCTGCTGACCAAGCTGGCAATTTCCTGGGGCCTGGCCTGCTGGGCAGCCCCTGACCAAAAGGCAACCATCATTTAAGGACTAGGGTTTTTCCCCTGCAAACCTGCTCAAAGTTAAATGTGCAACTGTATACATCTCCTTCAAGGCATCTCCTCACGAGACGAGGCACAATCGTTAGCCCGAGGACGTCTTCTTGTTCTAGGACTCCAAGCTATACTGCTTGATCGTGACTTAGATTTCAGGAAACCAGCACGCGTCATTTAGACTCCAATCTGACACTAACACGGGTGGTGAGGCTAATGAATCTGGCTTTGGGAGTCTACAACACCATTGGTTATTTAGGAGAGGGGGAATCTGCTTTTTGCAGGCTATCGGAACCAGCTCTGGGAATGATTAGACACCCTTTATCAGAGGCATCCCTCCAATTCCCATGCACAGAACCAACGGCTGGTTCCCTCTGTCTGTTTGGTGGAGAGTCTGAGTGCGTCTGAGGCTCCTCAGGTTTGATCCTGGCAGTTCAGGGAAGGCCTGGACCTCCTGAGAGCAGGCAGTCTTTGGTGCTCTCGGCATGCCAAGGATGTACTGCATCAGGAACCAACACCTGGGTCCTGGCCCCCTGCCTGCCTCTGGCTCCTCTTCTTTCAAAGCCTCATGGTTCTCTCTCACATCTTTGCAATGGCACCTATTTGACCCATCTCTTCGTAAGAATCAATAGAGAAGAGAAAATGTGGTATAAAAATGAAAGTGTGTGTAGGGTTATGATGTATTAAGGGCCAGCACCCTCATCAGATCACTGGGCAATTCTGACAGTCCTGCTTACTCTCAGAAACAGGACTGCACCAGGGTGCGAGGACAGACACGAAGGAATATTAACGATGCACCTACTACGTGGCACACACACCGCCTCTACTTATTTTATCTCACCGAATCGTTGTGGCAACACTTCTACAGAGACATCCACTGCCCCTTTGGGTGCCAAGGAAATGGATGCTCCGACGAGAACAGTAACTCGGCGAGGTTACACGCACCCAAATTTGTCACATTCTCAAGCCCACCACATTTCCATGACTGCACGCTCCCTTTATGGAAGTAAATAAAAAGTCATCTCTTCCATCTCCTTCATTTTGCAGATGGGGAAAAGGAAGCTCTGCGGCATTACCGGCTCATGTTTTCTTACGTCATTCCACACTGTCTTGCATGGCGGATCTGAAAACACGTACACACACAGACACATGCACGCAGAGACCTGAATGCATCTACAGACATGCAGAGATAACTCACAGACACAGCAGCACATTGATACACATACACATAGGCACACGTATATATAGACTTATTTGGAGATAAATAGACACAGATAGACATGAGAACACACTCAAATATGGATACTTAGATACCCATATACATGAGCAATCATCACTTAAAAAAAGCAGACACAACACCCACAGCCAGGTTCACATATAGAACACAGACACACAGAAGCATTCTGACACATATGCAAAAGGAAGCACATATAGAGATACATACATGGACATGGATGCATACCCTCACACAGATGCACACACTCATATACCACTTCTGAATGACAAGGCTTAATTAACCTCAAGGCCATAAACACCCTTTCACTACTTAATTCATTAGCAGGATAAGTAAATCCAGCTGGTTTGGAGAAAGAGCTGACCAGGGATCAGAGGAGGGGAGGAGGGAGCAAAGGGCCCCCTCGGCGCACCTTGCAGCCCTAGGCCAGAGGCCAAAATTTCTCTCCCTGTGCCACCCAGGGGCCCAGTGAAGACTGAGGCCAAATCCTCATCAGAAATCAACAAACAAACAGAAGGTGTTTGCTGAGAGCACTCCCTCTGCAATCTCCCTTCTGCGTCAATCTACAGGATCCTGGCCAAATTTCTATTTGTCTGACCAAGACCAAAGTCAGGTCCTAGAGAAATTTGGGGCAGGCTATCCAAGGGACACCCAGCCCCATGCACTGGTCACAAGCAGCACAGGTAAAGTGAGGCTCGTGAGCAGCAGCAGCAGCCTCCAGGAGGTGGTAACTGAGAAAGGAGAGGGAAGGACTGGTTTACAGCCAGGGCCTCTCCTCAAGGCCGACACTCAGGCTCTCTCCCTCTGCAGCTCAGAGCAAAGGAAGCTTTGCACGCCCAGTCTTCTCCCACCCACCCAAATCTGCTCCCGGCTCGTGAGGCTCCCAGCATCCCATGGGAACATGCTTGGCAGAGAAAGTGCCCTGTTCACCCACATGAAGAACACACACACACACACACAAACACACACACAAGCAGTCGGTTAACAAGGGTAAAGAGTTCATTAAGAAACCAGAAACCTATGGGTTTCTTTCCTTTAAAATAAAATCCAAAGGATTTGGGAGTGCATTCCCTACATTTTCTCTGCCTCATGGATGAGCAGACTATGTGAAAGTTGAGGCTTTCCTGGGGCCAAGGGACAGCCTACTCTTACATGCACAGAACAGAGTTATGTGTGCTGGACAAGGGGTACAATGGATCGCTGCTGGAGGTGGTGCATGGGTTGTCCTGTCCTGTTTGAACCTGCTGTGCTGATGGGCTATGAGGGGGAAGACATGACAGGCATCTCTGGGGACTGTGATGAAGAGTGGCCTGGGATGTGTCTACTAGACATCTGCTAGGTGTACATGTGTTATAAGGTTTTCATCTACATTGTGTCCTGTGAGTCTGTTGTGTGCATGCACATATGTTGGTGTTGTGTGAGTCAGTGTGTGCCAAGTGTGGGAGAGTTGTTTTCCTGCAGTGGTTTGGGAAGAAAAAGAGGGGATGCAGAGAGAACTCTTTTTACTCCTCTGAAGCTGCAAAGCTTCCTCCTCTTGAGGCTCGATATCCACAGATCCCGCCCCCCTTTTTCTCCCAGCTCAGGAACCAGGGGTATCTCATACAAGGACCACCTCTGTTCCCACTCGAATGAAACTCTGAATCTGAACAGAGGTCTAGGGTCTGGAGCACCTCACTGCAGCTGCCATGAGACCTATGTATGTGTGTGCATTTGTGTATGCATGTTGAGTGTAGGTATGCACACATGCCACCTCCATGTGAATACATTCAGGTCTCAGTCTGTGAGACTCGGGCAAAAAGATGCATGTACATGTGTGCTGAGTATGTACAGGCCTGTGTGGGCTTGATGGGCTCAGATGGGCCAGTTTTTAGTGACAGATTGTGTGCATGTCTATGATTACAGTTTCTACCAAGTGCATGTAAAAATAAAAAAACAGAAAGATAAGCCCCACTCCCTGGGTGGCACTCCGCAGCTCTCTGAAGGTGTGTGAGACTGACGGTGTCTTTGGGAGGCCTCTGGCCAGGGGGAGGGGGAGGTGCTGGGGAAAGGTATATGGAGAGGAAGTCTCTGCACACATGTGTTTGTGGGCAGCCTGACTGGGTGGAACGCGAAGTCAGACAGTGTCCTCCAGAGACCTCGCCGCTTTCCTGTGTGCGCGGCTGCACCATCTGTGGCATATTCTCACATTCTGCCCACAGATTCCCTGGGAGACCGGAAGAAGAGGGGTCAACTCCCCAGAAGGTAGCCCCAAAGGCCCAGCTTCCCTTGGAGACAACTGCAAGTGCTGGACTGTGTGTGTGTGTGTGTGTGTGTGTGTGCACGCACGTGTGTGTAGAGACAGAGACAGACAGAGAGACATGGCTGGGGGAGAAGCAGTTATAGGAATCGAGGCCCCCACCCCACCGCCTCCATCTGGGCTGGAGCAGATGGTGCTCAAACCCGACCAGCGAGGCCAAAGGCAGTGCTTGGAAGCAGCGTGTCCTGAGGGAAGGACAGTGCCAAGAAGGACCAGGGTGGACCCGGGGAGATGCTCTCTGACTGAGTGAATTCTCCTGGGCCTGTCCTTCTATCTAGACACATGCAGCCACGGAGCCCGGAGCCTGACTGCATGTCTAGCTACAGGTGTCCTGTTTGTTTACCTTATCTCCAGGCCCTTCGGAGGCTGAGTTCAACTGCCAGACTGCGGACACAAAAGGCAGGCCCTCCCTAAGCTGGCCTCAGCCCACCCCATCACCAGCATGCACTCATTTAGCTCCTTTGTTTCAGGAAGAGGGCTGGCCCTGCCTGAACAGGAGCCCTGGAATCTCAGGCACAGATCTAGTGGTTGTTTTGTCCACCCATCCAGGGTTCCAACTTTCTGACCCCTGAAGCCAATATCGTCTCCTCAAACTCAGGGTTTTCAACTGTGTTTTGCCTAATGTTTCCTCAGCAGGCTGCTCTCGGGCACAGAGAGCCATTAGGTGAGACCTGCCTTACCCTCCTGCGACTGAGACCAGACCCTGACCCTCTCCAATATTTCCCAGGATGCCTATATCAGAATCTTCTGGGAATATGGTAAAAAAAATGAAAATCCTGGCCTCTGCCCCAGACCTTTTAACTCCCTACTGACAGGCCTGGGGACTCTGCAGTTGGACAACAGCCTCGGCAGTCTCCCCACATTGTCAAGCTGCCTGGTCCAGAGCCCTGCAGCCAGCTCCCAGTCCAGTTGTCAGAATGCTGCGGCTTCCTCCTGCCTCAAAGCCAACACTGTCCTGAGTGTACCCTAAATTTCTGCACCCTGCCTCATGACCAAGGGACTGATCCCCCACATTTTCAGGGCCATCTGCTTATACTAAGCCATCTGCTTATACTAAAATGGACATGTCTTCCCCACTGTAGGAAGTGGGGTCTGACCCTTGTTCATACACACTCAGATGCATTCCCATACACACACACATACACACACACACGCCCCACCAACCCCTCTGGCAATACATCATGAGCAGTTTCTGTTTACATGGGTGAAGCTATTCAGTTCCCAGGCTTCTGGAGTTATTCCCTTGCTCAGTGCTTCATGCAGCTTCCTGGGCCTTCACAGACCCTCTCAGAGGTGGCAGAAGGCTCTGGAGGCAGCACTGAGGTCAAGCCGCAGCTGCACCACCGACAAGCTGGGTGATGTTAGGCCAATCACTTTACCTCCTGGGCCAGCCTCAGTTTCCTTGCCGAGAGAATGGGAATATCCACGCTGCCTAGCTGAGTCCGTGATGAGTAGGAAATGCAGTAATCTAGGTAGAGCATTTGGCACAAGGCCTAGAACATGGTGAGCCAGCGATAATTGTAGCTGTAGAACAAATGAAAAAGAAAAAGAAGTCAGAAGAGTTCACAACCTCGACACCCTCTCCCTATTCTCCTTGCCCTTGCCTTCGCCTCCCTTCCTGGGAGATTAACTCCATCTCTGCACCTCTGCTAGGCTGTTCTCCCACCAGGGGCCCTCTCTGTCCCTGCTTTTTCCCAAACAAAAGCCACCACTCTGCCCAGAGCAGGCTGAGCCTCCTCCAGGAAGCCTCTAACTGCTGCAGCCTCGTCAATCTCTCAGTGTCTCCAGAGCTGGACTCTCCCACTCCAGGGCCTCTGATCAACCGCACTGGCTCAGCCCCTAGTGCATGGCAGGCCAGCCTCTCCCTGAATGGGAGTTCTCCAAGACCAGGTACAGGGAAAACAAGGGGAAGCCCACAGACTGCCCCTAGGCCCAGCTGGGCATGTCTCAGGCACAGCTCCATGCTAGCCTCCGTCACTCCTCTTGAGGGATTAGAAGGACCATCACTTTGGTCGCCGGTAAAGACTAGTTGCTTTTTTAAATAGTAAGATTATTTTAAATATTATCCATTGAGAACAACATTTGTCCTAGAAAAAAAAAAAAAGACAAGAAGGGAGCAAAAGGAGAAAGATGCCTGTTTCTTCAACTGGGCATGAGGCTAAAATGGATCACCTTTGAGGATGCTGTCAGTCCAGGAAACACATTCCTGAGCCCACACTTGTACCCTAGGCAAAAATCCTTCGCAGACAAACACCCTCAGGATTAAATCCTTCACAAATAGTTACTGATCATCCACTCTGTGCCATGCATGGGTCTAGGTCCTGGAGACACTACACTGACATGCTTCACGTCCAAGGATAATGCCTGCGAATGTCTTGGTGGTTGTCCCAAGGTCTTGCTGATGGTTTCAGTCAGAAGCCTCAACAGGCC